GAGAGAGAGAGAGAGAGAATTTTTAATATTTATTTATTTATTTATTTTAGTTCTCGGCGGACACAACATCTTTGTTGGTATATGGTGCTGAGGATCAAACCTGGGCCGCACGCATGCCAGGCAAGCGTGCTACCGCTTGAGCCACATTCCCAGCCCTGAACTAAATTCTTGGGAGATGTAGATTAGAATAGCAAACAGGACTCATGTACTGCTGGTAGTAATATAGATTGGTAAAACCACTCCGAAGCACTGGTTAAGCAGTTATTTATGAACCTAAATATTTGCATGCTATATATCTAATGGTTCCTAAGCATATACCAATATATAGACTGTATTTTTTTTGTAGTTGCCATATTCATAATAGCCAAAACCTAGAAGCAACCCCAATTTCTGTCAAAGTTAGGACGTGTAACTAAAATATGGTATACGAATAAATGAGATACTATGCATCACTGAAAATTAATGAATTATTGCTACACTTAATAATATGGAAGAATCTCACAAACATAATATTGAACAGCAGAAACCAGACAGTGGACTATGCATATACTGTGTCATTTTGTTTGTATAAAGGTCAAATATGATCAAAATTAAATCTATGTTGTTAAAATCAGAAGAGTAGTTGATTATTTCTGAGGAGGGACAGATAGTATTTTGGGGAGCATTGGAAAAAGACTTTTGGGGACTTAGTATAAGTATCCTATTTCTTTTCTTTTTTGTGTGTGTATGTGTTATTTTTTATTTTATTTATTTTTTTACGTGTTGCTGAAGACCGAACCCAGTGCCTCACATGTGCTAGGCAAGCACTCTGCCACTAAGCTATAACCCCAGCCCAAGTATCCTATTTCTTGATCTTAACATGATTGCATTCACTTTGCACTAATTTGTTAGGTGGCATGCTTATGATTTTTGTACTTTAATGTTTGTATCTTATACTTTACTACAGAAAAAATTTAATGAAAGAGGAAAGATTGGAAATAGCAAATATAGGAAATACTACAAAGGAATCTTGATTAAGCCAGATGGTTTTTAGAAGTTTCTATAGTATTTTATTTTATTTTTTGAACCCAGGGTACTGAACCACTGTGCTACATCCCTAGTCATTTTATTTTTAATTTAATTTAATTTTTTTTGAGAGAGGAGAGAGGAGAGAGGAGAGAATTTTTTTTAATATTTATTTTTTAGTTTTTGGCAGACACAACATCTTTGTATGTGGTGCTGAGGATCGAACCGGGGCCACACACATGCCAGGCGAGTGGGCTACCGCTTGAGCCACATCCCCAGCCCTTATTTTTTATTTTGAAACAGGGTCTCAATAAGTTTCCTAGGTTGGCCTTGAACTTGTGATCTTTCTGCCTCAGCCTCCTGAGTTTCTGTGATTATAGGCATGTGCCACCATGTCTTATTCCATAGGATTTTTGACTTTTTTAAAAAGTAGGCTTACTGAAGTATACTTTGTATACAATAAAATTCACTCTTTTGAGGTACATAGTTAAATTCATCTTGCCAAAAATGTATGAAGTCCACCATAGTCAAGATATAGAATAGTTTCATCACCTCAAAATAGTTCCACTTCCCTTGTGTCATTCTCCTCCTGTCATCCTCAGCTCCTGACAAGCACAGATCTATTTTCTGAGGGAAAAGAATTGAAACTCTAAGGCCAGCCTGGGCAATTAAGGGAGAGCCTGTCTCAAAAAAAAAAAAAAAAAAAATTGGGGACTAGGGATATAACTTGAAGGTAGACTATTGCTTAGCATGCATGAAGCCCTGCTTCAATCTTCAGTACCACCTAAATGGAATATCTGGCTTTCTTCGCTTAGCAAAATGTTTTGAAAATTTACACATGTTGTATGTATCAGAAGTTTGTTCCTTTTTTTTTCCTTCTCTCTCACTGCTGTGGATCAAATCCAGGGCCTCACTTGCTAGGCAAGAACTCTACCACTGAGTTATACTTCTAGCCCTTGTTTTCCTCATATCTATCTATAATGGGGATCAAACCCTGGGTACTTTACTACTAAGCAATATCCCCAGTCCCCAGCCATTTGGAATGTTAAAACATTAAATATTTTTTTTTATTTATGTTTTTGTTTTTGCAGTACTGAGTATTGAACCCGGGGAAACTATATCTACCACTAACTATATCTCTGCCCCTTTTTATTTTTTATTTTAAGGTAGGGTCTTGGTAAATTTCCCAGACTGGCCTTGAACTTGCAGTCTTCTTGCCTCAGCCTCTCTGATACCACCATGCTGCTGTTCCTTTTTTTTTTTTTATAGTTGTAAATGGATAGAATGCCTTTA